AACAACAACAACAACAACAACAACAACAACAACAACAACAACAACAACAACAACAACAACAACAACAACAACAACAACAACAACAACAACAACAACAACAACAACAACAACAACAACAACAACAACAACAACAACAACAACAACAACAACAACAACAACAACAACAACAACAACAAACAACAACAACAACAACAACAACAACAACAACAACAACAACAACAACAACAACAACAACAACAACAACAACCGCAACCACACAACCACAACAACAAGAACGAAAGCCGTCATACTGACATTTAACACTGCAAACACATGGCAAATCATACCGCTGTGGACAGTGGAACATGCCTCCTCCCAGGTCCCCGTAGAGCCCGACGAGAGGGGGTGGAAGCAGTTGCCCTGGGTTCGTTTCAGGGATTTTATTGGGGGGAGCTTGTGCTTTGTGCCTTTTAAAGGGAAGCCACAAGGAGAACCACTTTTTTTTCATTGGGCTGAGGCGACAACAGGTCCATGACTCTGAGGTCGGGGGCAAGATCGGGAAGGTGCCACATTTGTATCCCTTACCCCCCCCCCGAACGATGCCCAAAACTCTTGCTGGAGGTCATCCTACAAACCATCCTGTGACGATGACGCACCTGGCAAGCCCCGGACAGCACAACATAAAGGATTGTCGAAGAATCTAGGCCTTGCTATAAACCCAATTAAACGGCCACCCGCCTGAGGGATAACGACATGACCAGCTGCCCGGGCCTTGTCATTCTGCATCTTGACGGAAGATTTGTGCGCTAACTGACGGGGTTCCAACTATTCCTCGAGCCAAGGGCAGCGTCACCCACACGGATTTCCCAATACTTGGATTCAAGAGTAGATGACTGCCAAATGCCATCTGCACTGAGCAATAACATCAAGCAAAGCCGAACATTCAAGACGCATCCAAAAATCAAAGTACGCAGTTCAGCAAATGAAACAGAACGCGTGGCCTGCCCAGAAAAAACATGCAGAACTGGGGTTCCCGGAAAAGAAAAAAAAAGTTGGGTGGCCCACCACAACCAGGCCCACAATAGCAGCTGAGAGAAACTTGGAGAAACACTAACAGAACCCTCTTGTCAGGCCCAAATAGCAGGAACTGGTCATCCAGCAATTTCCCTGTGTTGCCCTCAAGGGATCTACACTCCCCGCGAAACAGCACGCTGCGAAAGTGCTGCGCGTGCCATGAAATCTTACTTGCCCTTGCGAAAGTACTGCGCCTGCCACGAATTCTGCACTTGACCTTACGAAAGTGCTGCGCCTGCCACGAATTCTGCACTTGACCTTGCGAAAGTGCGGCGCCTGCCACGAATTCTGTATTTGACCTTGCGAAAGTGCTGCGCCTGCCACGAATTCGCACTTGACCTTACGAAAGTGCTGCGCCTGCCACGAATTCTGTATTTGACCTTGCGAAAGTGCTGCGCCTGCCACGAATTCTGCACTTGACCTTACGAAAGTGCTGCGCCTGCCACAAAATATTTACTTGACCTTGCGAAAGTGCTGCGCCTGCCACGAAATCTGTGTTTGACCTTGCGGAAGTGCTGCACCTGCCACGAAATCTGTACGTGACCTTGCGAAAGTGCTGCGCCTGCCACGCATTTCAAGCCTTGGGAAAACTTGAAATTGCGAAAGTGCTGCCCCTGAAACGAAATCTGCGCCAGACCTTGCCAAAGTGCTGCGCCTGCCGTTCAATCAATCCTTGCGAAACCTCTGCGGTGCCGTGCCAATGGGCCTGGCGCCGAACGCAGTCCGAGACCGCTCCGAACATGCTCCGAACCCGCTCCGACCAGACGCCGCGAACAGGCTAGCTTTCGCAACTCCGGAGACGTCAATTCACGCACAGGGCCACGCTTTTTGCGACTTTCTTATCTTCGGAAACGCCGATTCACGCACAGGGCCACGCTTTTTACGACTTTCTCTTCCCCTGCCACATGCTCGTGCAGTTTTTCTCGCGGGCTTATTCCTGTATCTTGTCTCAGAGAGCTGGCTTTCAATTAGTTGCCGTAACACGGAAGTTCCTTCTAAACTTCCTTTGATTACTGACGGGCATTACAAACACCAGGCCAACTCTATTTACATCAGGGCTGTCATGGACTTATTTCCCCAGATAGTGGCAGTATAGTGGGCAGAAGCGAGCATTAGCCACCTGAAATATCAAGCTGTCAGTTGATAGTTCTCATAGTGCATTAGCTGGCTGCAGCCCAGGCAGCAGCCACCAGGTGCAGGAAGCCAGAAGCAGGCAGCAAACAGTCGCAGCTGTTTCAAAAGTGGTGGTGGTGATGAGGGTGCTAGCGACGTTTGTGCCAGTAGCAAGCTTAATTCATGCCAGTGGTGGGAGATAGCGGGCGGTAGTGGGAGGACAATGAGAGTTGCAACATTGCCAATGACAGAACGCCGTTTTGCAGCGGAATTTGCAGTCTGGGCCGTTTCCAATCAATGACCTTTTGACCCCGGGATCTACATCAAGTTCGCTCACAGGCGCTGGATAAGACTCAGACTTGTCATCCCATCAATTCCACCGCGGCAAGCTAAGTCAGGTGGCGTTCCCAATACCCTATTTCCCCTTCAGCCATCCCCCCAAAGGAGTGTCAAAACCAAATAGGGGACCCCCAAACATAATGGTTGTCCTTGCGGCCTCCCTTTAAACCAAGGTGAAAAGATGACCCTCAAGAAAACACCCCCAACTATTGACGGGGCCTACACTTTGTCTGTACCACAAGTCCAAAACGTCAGAACAGTCAAGGCCCAAGCAGAGTCCACGTGGGCGTTCTTGCGCCCTCGAGGCGTCTTTGATGCGTCCGGCCTGCACAGAGCTCACACATTGAACACGGAAGTAAGATGTCTGAAGCTAAACACCAACTTTGCGCTCCAAGCATTGCAAGGTGCCCTCAAAGCATTATCTGGCGGCAAACAAGAAACATACAACTTCATTTTGCGCAAGTTTGTGTGCTCGGCCCTTCTGCACAGTTCGCAGGTAGAAACAAACCAGGACAACACACAAGCGTCAACAAGTCATGGCACAATCAGTCGGCAAGCACGCAATCTCTCTTACTGTTTCTCTCTCCCTCTCTCTTTCTCTCTCTCTCTCTCTTTGCACGTCTGCAATTATACCATATTTCCTAAACCTGGAATTTATAATTCATACGAGATCCCCAAACTAAGGGACCTACATCATGGTATGCTCGTTTGACCCCCAAATCGGTGAGCCCGGCGTAAAGTAGGCGAAGGTACTGCAGATTGACATGGAACCCACAAAGCCACACATTGATTGAGGAACCTTCTTTTGGGGAGGTGCCCATTTTAGATTCCATGTTGACTTGCGGGGAGTCTGTGCTCAGCTTGGAAACCACCCTTCCAAAAGTACCCACGGCTTGCTGACAACTATTTGTTGCTGGGGTCGCAACAAAGAGAAGGCGAAAATTGGCGGGAGTCTTCCAACATTAAGAACTTCGAGGAAGTACCTTTGCGTGCAAGAACAGAAAGCACGTGATCGCACTGAAAGAGGACACATGAGAACTACGCACCCGCTCTTTTTTCAGCGGCATTTGGCGAAGGAGTCGTTTGCTTCATGGCTGGCCTGGATGATCTGATACCCCGCCCAAAACGGAACATTAACACGATGCTCCCATGATGCATCTATCACACATACCTGCCCGCTCCAAACTTGAACCAAACAAACAGATACATCCACTGCCAGCTGCACATGCACTACTAGATCCAGCTGCTTTCTGGAACTTCCTTCAGGGGATGTACAGGTGGGCAGGTGGAACTTTCTGGTGGCTCCAGCAGACTCATGTTGTGCCCCACCTGAAAGTTCCAGGAAAATCGCGGCTCCAACAATTTCTGGAGCTGCTTGATTGAATCTAGCTTGAAAGGCATCTGCAGGTGAAAATGTCCTGTGCGGTCCTTCGGGGTCCGCACTTCCCCATTCGCCCAGTAAATGCCGGCGAAGCTGGCGCAGCCTCCGGCGCTGTCTGGCTGGCTCGGGGTGAAAACACTTCGCTGCAGTGAGGTCCGCCAGAAACCCATCAAACTAGCCTCAGACCTGCAATCTAGCTTGACCAGCAAATGCATCTCATGTGAAAAGGAGCGTTCAACAGTGTGCATGTTATTTCTACTGTGCCTGCGCTTTTTCACATATCTGTTCGACAAGAGGCAAATAGTATTGCACACAGGCGCATGAAAGTTGTGTAGAGCTGTTCATGCATACAATACTGAATCCATGTTGCTTGGTCTAAACATGTTCTCTTGTACGTGACTTCTTCCCCGTCGCCCCTCCCCCAAGTAGTAGCCCCGACAGCCCGCCTCCTTCACCTCCTTGAGGTACTGCACCAGCTGCGCCTCTAATTCCTTCAGGAGACTTGACATGGCCCATTCCACTTCCATTCCCCCTTCCCTGGAGTGCCCCATATGCCACGGCATTCCATGGGGTAGCTACTTGCACCTCATGCGTATATCCTCTATGTAGCCATATTGCATGTAAGAAATTGGTTTGTTGTGTATGCGCACGTGCATGCTACAAATACAAACATTTACAAACAGAGAGAGAGAGAGAGAGAAAGAGAGCAATCAGCTTACCCAGCGCTGGGTTATTTTGCCCAAAATCAATCAACCCGACACAAGCGCCCAGTTTGTTCAGTGCCAACCAAAGGACTCTGTCAGCGACTCTCCCAGAGATTGTGCTGAGCTTCTCACTGCGAGGCCTTTATTTGTTATTGGTTCGGGGTTGAGTGCCCAGACAGAAGGTTGTTGAGGAGCGAAGTGTGCCAAACGCAGGCGCAATCACGGCCAAATGGACTTTTTGATCCTTGGTGCGTTGGTGTCAAAAAGATGCCGCAAATAGGCAGGGCTTTTTGCTGCCGCTATCAACAGGCATATTGTTTAGGGCGCTTCTGTCGGCCTGGCTCTACCGCCTTGCGTGTCACTCGGTTTGGCCCTTTTCCCGGATGCCCCCGGCAACTCGTCCACCTGTCCTCCGCCGGAGTGGCGGCCCAGGAGAGGACGCGGCACTTGATGGCCTCGTAATTGCACTCCTCCACCGTGTCGTGGCCGAAGCCCAAACCTCGAACATCCGAGCAAGCGATCGACGTAAAAGCAATCGTGGAATCGGATGTTGAAAGACTACAATAATGTTGGCAAAATGCCTTTTGCTATCATATTTGCAAAAGGCGAACAAGATTGCAAACAACTCAATTTCGATGTCCGCGAAAAGTGTACCGTGAGCATTGGAAACTGATTCTGCGCAGCGGGTTGGCCGGTCAAGCCCCATTGTCCGCCTTGTATCTGCCTATATCTGCCTGTTGGGTTCCACCAGTGTAGGAACTAGACGTGACTGGGTTTCAACACTGGACACAAACAGAGAGAGAGAGAGAGAGAGAGAGAGCTTTGAGGCTGGCATAAGCCCCAGCAAAGTAAGCCTGGAGACAGCCACCTCGTTTCGGGGTGACTACTTTCTAGTGGGAGCACACCACGCATAAAAGGAAGAACGGTGCAGCCGGACTTGCGCACCAGCAAGAACACATGTCACAGACCCAATGCAGGCAGAGTCACCATGAAAAGTCAAGCACAATTTCTGTGCATCCTCATCCACCTGGCAAACAGCTGCATGCATTGTTTGCTCATGAAAGGGAGGACGTCTCTGGGACAGACTTGCCATTTGCAACGAACATGTTCAAATCTGAAGGCTGAGAGGACATGCGAGGACCCATTGCCGTTTTAAAGGAACCAAACTTATTTACACATAGCTGCTCGAAGAGGACCAATTTGGGTTTGCTATTAAAACCGTATGGTCAACCTTTCTCAAAGGCACCGATCTGAAAATCGGCCACCATGTGAGTGTGTAGGTGTATACAAGTACGGCTAGTACCAGACTTGCAGCGACAGAACTTACTCACCTGCGACTAACACTGAGCTGACTCACTTGCGATGATTGACTCGCTTGCAACGATAACAGCGATGTTGGTAAGCACTTCACTAGCTATACGGCATGACCGGCTGCAGCACTGCATAATCAGGCCAAAATAGTCAACCTTTCAACAAGATCCCTGCACATTGCCAAAAGTGCGGCCAGTGCTGAAGGGCCTGAAAGGCCCTGATCGAAAGGCAACGTGCGAGTGACTATCGTAGCCCGGCCCCTTATGTTCGTGGTGAAAAAGGAATTGCTTGTGCGCATGAGCGAGCAAGCAAGCAAACAAGAAAGTACTCAGGCAAGCAGGCAGGGAGAGCAGCCGACGCTGCCAAACACACAAGTGCGGGCGCACAGACAGACACACCACAAGGACACACGACAAACAAACAAACAAACAAACAAACAAACAACCAAACAATCAATCAATCAATCAATCAATCAATCAATCAATCAATCAAGCAAGCAAGCAAGCAAGCAAGCAAGCAAGCAAGCAAGCAAACAAACACACCCACACCGACGCACGCACAAATACACACACACACACATCCCCACGCCCATGGAAACACACATGCAGCAAAGAAACACGCCGCAGGAAAGCCCTTGCACATTGTCAAGTCAGGAAGAATCAGCTTCTTCATTCGAGGCAGGTTTCTTTGCGTCATCGCTTTGCCGGGTTGAAACTTGAAACATCTTGAGACTTCACACGTATCAAACGCCGCCGTTCTCTCAACTGCATGCGTCCAAGTTGGCGTGTTTCATCATTCAGACTGGTTCAACTCAAAGCTGGTCAACATCGTACACATACACACACACACACACACATGGTCCACAGTGAGCTAGTTTCTGCCGTTTCTGCATCGCTGCACGGTTTCTTCCGCTGCCATTGTCTTTGCTTGGCCGGTGTAGGCCAATGTCACTCATCTTCTGGTTTATGGACTCAGGGCAAAATCAATACACGTATCAGGAATCCCCACATTAAACAAAATCACAAAACTTCATCATGAGAAAGCTCATGCAACCCGCGGATTGGCGAGCTCGTTGTTTGTACGGATCTGCACTCAAGTGCTTGGCTCGCCTTCTGCACGCGGAGGTTGGCCAAGAAGCCCCCCTTTTTCAGGAGCTTCCTGAAAAGGCGCTTGAGACCACATTCTGGCTGTCCAATATCCTAAAGACACGGCCATGCGCACCAACAACTAAGTGTGTTGTGTTGTATGAGTGTGTTGTGTGTCTATGCGTGTGAAAGTCCGCGCAGGTGCTTGGTTTGCATTGCTTTTAAATAAGCTCAGGCGATATCCCCAACAGCACCACACCCTCCCAGAATCCTCCCAGAACGCCCGCAACCCACCTCACCGCCGGTTTTGCTGAGGATGCCGCCTTGTAACTTTGTAAAGCAAAGCTAAGAGTGACAGCGCAATCGCGCCCTGATCGGGGCCCGACAGCGCAATCGGGACCCAATCGGGCCCGACGGCGCAATCGGGCCTTGACCGGGGCCCGATGGTCCCGTGGTGCGAGCGGGCTCCCGCCAACCCCAGCCAACCATATTAGCTCAACGCCGGTTTTCCTTAGGATGCGGCCTTACAACTGTATCTAGCAAAACTAGGCGACGCCAGCTTAGTACAGTTGATGGGGCCCGACTGAGTCGGGCCCCGATCGGGCCCCGACGGCGCAATCGGGCCCCGGACTGGGCCCGGTGAACATCGCAAACCGTCCTCGTGGAACCCTCGTCAAACTCAGCGTGAAACTTTGGAACCTTTCCTCAGGGCTGCCCCATAGCTTTTGCAGAACCTGGTAATTAGAAACCTCGTGGAGCGTTTTTGGAACCTTACCCCCCAGCCCTCGCAGCCTTGTGGAGCCCTTGAACCCAAAGCCCACCAAGTAACACTCAGTAATGCCAAGCATTTATTCTGCTGCACAGTGAGTCCCGCAGCAGCGTGATCTGATCTGCCACAAAGCCAGCATTTCGAGCCGCGGTGCCTGAGCAAGTGAGCAAGTGACAAAACAGTGAAAGTGTGCTGAAAACCATTGATTTCGGTTTTGCTTAGTGTTCCGCCCATGAGCAAAGCGATCTTCTGAGCCCTCAATTTACTGCTCCGATGACACATTGCTTCCCTCCAGGGCAAACCAACCTTGCAGAACATTTGTGGAACCCTTGTGGAACCTTGTGGAGCCTTGTGGAACCCTTGTGGAATCCTTGCGGAACTCTGTGGAACCTTGTGAAACCTTACCTCAAAGCCGCCCCGGACCATCCCACAGCCCTCGCAGCCCGGACCACCCCGCAGCCCTTGCAGAACCTTGTGGAACCCTCATGGGACCTTACCTCGCAGAACCTCGAACCACACCACAGCCCTTGCAGAACCTGGTGGAACCCTGGTGGAACCCTGGTGGAACTTGAACCCTCGTGAAACCTCACCTCAAACCACCCCGGATCACCTCGCAGCCCTCGCAGAACTTGGTGGAACTGTGGTGGAACTGTGGTGGAACCCTGGTGGAACCCTCGTGGAACCTTACCTCAGGGCCGCCCCGGACCACCCCGGAGCCTATCTGGGCTGAGACCCCAAAGCTTTCAGCTGTTGGGAAAAAAGCAGTAAATGGTATGGCCTTCTCCCTGTCTGCCCCGGTTGCTCAGGAACTAAACAACCTAAGTTGTAATCATCCCATGCTCGACAAGTAGGGTGCTTACTCATCCGTCCTCGGCACCCCGCGGAGGGACTTCCAGCGGACCAAGCCAGGCGTCATCGCCTGCACATCGACGAGGATGCCTGGCGCTAACAGGCACACACAAAGCAAACTCTGCCGAAATGCTTTCTGGGGCATCCTCCGTTTCTTTTGGAATGGCCTGAGTGCGAACCCTAACGAGATCACCCCTGCCACCATCTGCCGCACACAAGAAACAACTGGTGTGAAGCAGAACGACCAGTCCGTGAGCACAATTCCTACACGGTACACGTTTGACAGCCAAAAGGCGCTGTGAGAGTGATGAAAAGAAGTGGCTCCCCTGCAACTGGGCAGGGATATCTTAAGTCTTTGAAAAATGCACAACTACAACATGACTTTCACAACCACCATTCCATGTTGATGCACCCTGCCAAAGGATGATCCAATCCACGTATCGGCTGTTCACTGCGTGCCAACATGGAGAATCTGAAAAAGGCTTATTGGATCATGCCGCAGAATCTTGCAGGTAGCACTGCCAAAGAACTGAACTCACAAGGGGCCTCGTTCTAATTGCTCCCCAATTGGAGGAATAAGAGGACACTCCCCGAAAAATACTACTACTACTAAATATAAATAATAACGAAAACACCGACTTGCCAAACAGCTTCAATCACGGCGATGTCAGAGGTTCTTGCCCAGGCCTAGTACGATTAAACAAGTCCTGCAAAACACACGGCACTGCACTAAAAGAAACTGAGAGAGACTTCTGGTGCAATCCAGCGAGAAATCATGCTACTTGACGTTGAATCTTTCGGAACAGGGCGGGGAACATGTCAAGTTTCGGCTCACAACCATATCACCAACCAAGGTGGACATGTCGCCGGGTCGTTTGACTTCCCTTTGGATCTCAGCCTCCGCTTCTAATCAGGCATATTGGCGCAATGGTCCCCATGCTCAATGCATATGGTCATTTGATCTTGGCGATTCCAGCGCCTTCTTACGAACATGCTCTTGGCCCACCACATCCCAAATGTGCTTTCCCATAGTTGTGCTGTTCTTGCCGAAGTGAGAAGGTTCAATGTACTTTAAATGGCCCTCAAAACAAGGAGGGAAATCAGCCGTTCAAGCAGGAACTGGGAGCTTTCCCTTTTCGCCTTCAAAACGAACTTACAACCGGAATTGCGGTTCAGTTCTAAAATTTACATGCAACATAGGATTGATAATTCCTGTGCAAAATATCTGCGCCGACCAGCAGTCTTACTAACTTCTGTCCAGCCCAAAACTGAAAAAAACTTTTAACCTCCGCGAATCAGTCCCGTCCTCCAGCACGCTCGAACAAAAAAACACAGTGGTCCAAAAAGTAAAGAACCATACACAAAGTCACCCCAGTACCTGCATGGCCCCTTGCCCCATACATGCTGCAACTGGTTGGCTCACGTTGATTCGTGCTGCTCGGCAAAGACACGCGAATCAGCCAAAATCAAAGAAACTCAAAACCAGCTGCTTTCAAAGCATGCAACTCAAGATGTATCATATGTCATTGCTTGACAGTGATAGCTGAAGGAGGCCACATGTTGTAGCCCGCATGATAATCCGGCCTCCCTCAAATTGATGCGGGTCCCATCTCCACTTCTAAAGTAGCATTTCCAACTTAGGGAAAGCAGTCCCTCCCTCCAGATTGTTGCGGGGAGCACTTCTGCCTGCTTCTCTCAAATTGGGGCCTTGGGCACCTTGCTGACCTTGGAGGGGGTTTTCATAAAATTTTAACATGAAAACAAGCGCAGCCCCTGATTGCATATCATGTCAAGCTCAAAGCCAGAATAAATCCGTGCAGGAGGGAGTACTGCAAGCAATACAAGCACATTGGACGTGGCCCCGCCTGACCGGATGACCTTGATGATCTGTCCCTCATAGTATGTGGCTCGTGTGAGCTCGCTCCTCGGCTTGTCTGCTGGATGCACCGATGGACCTTCCAGCTTCCTTTTAACATGTTTCAAATTACTTTTTCTGTCAAACTTGACTCGTTCCTCGGGTCAATCACATTGCCTAGAGTTGCATCAAACTGGTGTGGGGACTCCACATTAACAGCCTCATGCGAGCCTGCTCCAAGCTGAGGCCGGCTGAGGACATCCTACGCGACTGCCCACTGCCAAGCTTCAATTGCACTCGTTCCTTCTTCTGCCCTCGCGGGGCACGTTCCTCCTCGCGCTTGGCAAGCATCCGAACCATCTCCAAACCCAGCTGTTCACCTATGGAGCAAAGAAACATGCAAAATTTAAGTGCTACATGCCTGAGAAAAGGGTGTCTTCAAGCTAATCTGTGTGTCTAAGTCCTAGTTCCTTTCGTGTCTCGCATCTAGAATTCTTGATGGACATGACTCCAGCAGAGAAGCATTGGCAGGAGGCCAAACCCGGCGTTCGAAGCCTCCCGCGGTTTCTTTTGATTTCTTCCTATCCACATCACTACAAGAAATATAAGCCTTGTTGGCATGCCAATCTCAATTTCACACTGAAGTAGGCTGCTTGGATTTGAACACACATGCAGCTATACATTTATATATGCCATGACTAGATTGATGGCACTAGAGCCGTGAATCAAACAACTGTATAACACAATCTTGGAACACTGCAAAACGCTTGTTGTGCTCATAGACACAGTAAAAGCAAATAAACAAACAAACAAACAAACAAACAAACAAACAAACAAACAGACAGACAGACAGACAAACAAACAAACAAACAAACAAACAAACAAACAAACAAACACACAGACACACAAACAAACAAACAAACAAACAAACAAACAAACAATCAATCAAACAAACAAACAAACAAACAAGCAAGCAAACAAACAAACAACCAAACAAACAAACAAACATCACCGAACACTCGAGGGCTTTCTCCTCTCTAGCTGCGAAAAGATCCAGAATCGACCACACGTGTATGAACGAGCACACAGGTGTTCAAGTGAGTGGCGATATATGGCAACAAGTAAACCAGGATTCAGAAACCTCGTGGCGATCAATGAGGGTCCCCTGTTCAAACCTTCTGTTGGCAATCCCCTATCCCCTGCGCTCAGTTCGTCTCTCTCCTCCATTCCCTCTCCGTCGTGCTGCTCCAGCAATGCCCGCAAGCGAGGGTGTGCCAGGACGGTATCGGAATTGGCTTGGACGGCCCACAGCTTCTGAAGCCTGGGATATTTTTTGGACGGGACACGGCCGTAACAGCTGCAGGGCTCGCTGATTGCCAGTTGGGGTGTTCCAAGTCCTCCTCCTCCTCCTCCTCCTCCTCCTCTCCATTTCTATGATTGATATGCTTGTTGAACAAAGGGTACATTCTCCCGGAAAGTTCTCCTCAACATGGCAAAACATGTAATGTTGAAATGCCCGCCACGCATTCCACAAAGAAGCTACGAGTACAAAAGACATGTCAGAGGGTTCCTGGGTAAGCAGCATTTCCTTGAGAGTAAGGGAGAGCCAGCAAAACCGCAGGAAACATGAGATATCCCCCCCACAGTGCTTCTATAGTGGTTCCTGAAGGAGGCCAACTGCTGTGTTTCACCAAACCTGAATGCTTGAAGACGGAACCTGCTGACAGCGTTGTTGGTCAACAAACAGAAGGCGTTGGCTGCGTGAGTCCGGAGATTAGAACGCGCCCAATGTCGTTCGAATGTCACTGACAGATTGCTGTAGGCTGCTCCTGAGCATCGCTGGGCACAAAGATCTGACTTGAGATCTGTGCAGCAGGCTGTTTGTATTTTCCATATACGGCCAAAGCACCCACAGCTTTGACCCATGTCTATTTACATCACGATGATCTGTGTTGGTGAGTTGCACACATCATTGAATGAAAGAGGTATGGCATCTCCCATACCCCTGGCGCGTGAATGCCACTGCACAACCCTCACAGGAACCGCCAATCTACTTCATAATGAACCAAAAGAAAAAGGATGCCATGCACTGTCGCAAATTCTGAGCCAATTGTTTCATGGGTTGGAAGGTTAGGCTTGTGGGCGGCAGATTCATCCCGGCCCAACACCGACTTTGATCAAGATGTTCGGTTACATGATGTTACATATATCCATTCCCATTGTAGTCCTGTTGTGCTTTGACGGGTAATCGTTTTGGAAGTGTGTTACAGGGAAATCAAAGGGGACAACAAGCATTCTGGAGGGCCCCTATAATGTGAGACAAACCCACGCTGTGAATCTCAAACGGAAATAGCCTTCCCAATGAGTGGTGGACACCAATCTCCATGCACATGATGTTTTGCACACGGTCCGGTCCCTACTTGGCTGTTCAACCCCTTTGCCTGTGATCTCACCATGGTTGTAGCTGCGGTATAGCTGCGGTAACCGGGGTTAGTCCGCCTCCGGCCATGGTCAGATCACCTGCCTCGTCTTCAACCAAAGCCACATCGTCCAAGCCACGACTCAGTTGGTCCACCACGAAGCGAGAGAAGGTGACTGTCCGAGCAAGCGCCGGCCAAGGAGGGTGGGCCGGCCGCAGTGTCTTGATTGGACTCCTGTCGCATGTAGGGAGCACCCAAAAAAGAGTTGGTCTTTTAATGAAACATGACCGGAGCTGTTGGTTAGTTGTTTCTTCCAACAGGGACCTTCTTGTGGGCTCCAAGTTTTTGGGTGGGAGGGTGTTCCCCTGCAAATTAGGATGAAACCGAAACCGACGCCCGGCAAAGGAGATTCCTCTACACAAAAAGGCTTGTGGCAGGCGGCGGGGCACAGGCAAAGGGTTGGGCAAAGTACCACGTTTATCAATTTTGTTCCTTTCAACATTGTCAGAATTGCATATTTATGTATGTCCATGCGTGGATGTACAAATGTACATATGACAGAAATACGCCATATGACATATGGCATGTGGAAGCATGCCCTTCAAGGGGGTGCTCATCTGGTGCTGCATCAGGGACATGGAACTTCTGCGAAAGCAAGTCGTGATAAAGCTCCACAACCCTCCCTCACCAACGCCATCAATTGGACATGTCAATAGTTGACAGGTTCTTGTTGCAATTTTGACTGAAATCCAACTTAGTTGAGATTTTGTTTTGTGCAGGGACAACGGCCAACGTGCCATGAACCTCGCCGTGTCGCTGAGCAATCTGACCAGTGATAAGTCTCTGCCTTTGTTTTGCCAGGGCATCCTTTCGGCTTCAGCCCAGTCGAAACTTGACATGGTCAAGCAGAAACGACATGCGACTCAATCCACACCTATGATCCTCAGGATGCGCGTTGTAGCCTTATGAATTCATACAATCCTTGCCAAAAGGGTGTCAACACGTCTCTGCCATACAGACTTCTAATTTTGAAAGGACTCCCGAAGAATGACTCGAATTCCAAGTGACAATTGTGTGGGGCTGCCCTCACGTGCAGTCCAGTCAGAATGGCTTAAGGCCCGCTGATTCCCTCCGCTACGTGGACTGAGACAGTAGTTAACCATGGTTACAATGACAAGCTGTGAGCGGAGCACCCCAGCTACCCTCATTGTAGTCATCTTCATCATTCCAACCATTGCAACCTGGCGACTAAGTGGGTTGGACGTCCAAAAAGGCACGACTCCCAAGCGTCGGCCTCCGCCGGAGGCACCATCTTGACCTTCCCCAACTGAGCCGTGGAGATCCATGGCGGAGGGGCGGTCTGGGACCAGTGCTCGTGATTGGCCCTCGCTCGCCTTGGCGCTATTTGAAAGGGAAAGCACGGACCGGAAAACTTCAATCATAGGGGGCTTCTCGCGAGCAAAACCAGTCTCCATTCTGCTGGTTTAATGATCCTAGGCTCCATTATCCCGCGTGTCCTTGAAACGCTTTCGTATCAGCAAATCATCTCAAAAGGATGCAAAAGGTAAGAATGTGACTACTTTCAAGGACTGTCCAACCACTTTGCTCGGGCGCAAGAATGGCAAGATCGACATGACTCCAGCAGAGAAGCATTGGCAGGAGGCCAAACCCGGCGTTCGAAGCCTCCCGCGGTTTCTTTTGATTTCTTCCTATCCACATCACTACAAGAAATATAAGCCTTGTTGGCATGCCAATCTCAATTTCACACTGAAGTAGGCTGCTTGGATTTGAACACACATGCAGCTATACATTTATATATGCCATGACTAGATTGATGGCACTAGAGCCGTCAATCAAACAACTGTATAACACAATCTTGGAACACTGCAAAACGCTTGTTGTGCTCATAGACACAGTAAAAGCAAATAAACAAACAAACAAACAAACAAACAAACAAACAAACAAACAGACAGACAGACAGACAAACAAACAAACAAACAAACAAACAAACAAACAAACAAACACACAGACACACAAACAAACAAACAAACAAACAAACAAACAATCAATCAAACAAACAAACAAACAAACAAGCAAGCAAACAAACAAACAACCAAACAAACAAACAAACATCACCGAACACTCGAGGGCTTTCTCCTCTCTAGCTGCGAAAAGATCCAGAATCGACCACACGTGTATGAACGAGCACACAGGTGTTCAAGTGAGTGGCGATATATGGCAACAAGTAAACCAGGATTCAGAAACCTCGTGGCGATCAATGAGGGTCCCCTGTTCAAACCTTCTGTTGGCAATCCCCTATCCCCTGCGCTCAGTTCGTCTCTCCTCCATGCCCTCTCCGTCGTGCTGCTCCAGCAATGCCCGCAAGCGAGGGTGTGCCAGGACGGTATCGGAATTGGCTTGGACGGCCAACAGCTTCTGAAGCCTGGGATATTTTTTGGACGGGACACGGCCGTAACAGCTGCAGGGCTCGCTGATTGCCAGTTGGGGTGTTCCAAGTCCTCCTCCTCCTCCTCCTCCTCCTCCTCTCCATTTCTATGATTGATATGCTTGTTGAACAAAGGGTACATTCTCCCGGAAAGTTCTCCTCAACATGGCAAAACATGTAATGTTGAAATGCCCGCCACGCATTCCACAAAGAAGCTACGAGTACAAAAGACATGTCAGAGGGTTCCTGGGTAAGCAGCATTTCCTTGAGAGTAAGGGAGAGCCAGCAAAACCGCAGGAAACATGAGATATCCCCCCCACAGTGCTTCTATAGTGGTTCCTGAAGGAGGCCAACTGCTGTGTTTCACCAAACCTGAATGCTTGAAGACGGAACCTGCTGACAGCGTTGTTGGTCAACAAACAGAAGGCGTTGGCTGCGTGAGTCCGGAGATTAGAACGCGCCCAATGTCGTTCGAATGTCACTGACAGATTGCTGTAGGCTGCTCCTGAGCATCGCTGGGCACAAAGATCTGACTTGAGATCTGTGCATCAGGCTGTTTGTATTTTCCATATACGGCCAAAGCACCCACAGCTTTGACCCATGTCTATTTACATCACGATGATCTGTGTTGGTGAGTTGCACACATCATTGAATGAAAGAGGTATGGCATCTCCCATACCCCTGGCGCGTGAATGCCACTGCACAACCCTCACAGGAACCGCCAATCTACTTCATAATGAACCAAAAGAAAAAGGATGCCATGCACTGTCGCAAATTCTGAGCCAATTGTTTCATGGGTTGGAAGGTTAGGCTTGTGGGCGGCAGATTCATCCCGGCCCAACACCGACTTTGATCAAGATGTTCGGTTACATGATGTTACATAGATCCATTCCCATTGTAGTCCTGTTGTGCTTTGACGGGTAATCGTTTTGGAAGTGTGTTACAGGGAAATCAAAGGGGACAACAAGCATTCTGGAGGGCCCCTATAATGTGAGACAAACCCACGCTGTGAATCTCAAACGGAAATAGCCTTCCCAATGAGTGGTGGACACCAATCTCCATGCACATGATGTTTTGCACACGGTCCGGTCCCTACTTGGCTGTTCAACCCCTTTGCCTGTGATCTCACCATGGTTGTAGCTGCGGTATAGCTGCGGTAACCGGGGTTAGTCCGCCTCCGGCCATGGTCAGATCACCTGCCTCGTCTTCAACCAAAGCCACATCGTCCAAGCCACGACTCAGTTGGTCCACCACGAAGCGAGAGAAGGTGACTGTCCGAGCAAGCGCCGGCCAAGGAGGGTGGGCCGGCCGCAGTGTCTTGATTGGACTCCTGTCGCATGTAGGGAGCACCCAAAAAAGAGTTGGTCTTTTAATGAAACATGACCGGAGCTGTTGGTTAGTTGTTTCTTCCAACAGGGACCTTCTTGTGGGCTCCAAGTTTTTGGGTGGGAGGGTGTTCCCCTGCAAATTAGGATGAAACCGAAACCGACGCCCGGCAAAGGAGATTCCTCTACACAAAAAGGCTTGTGGCAGGCGGCGGGGCACAGGCAAAGGGTTGGGCAAAGTACCACGTTTATCAATTTTGTTCCTTTCAACATTGTCAGAATTGCATATTTATGTATGTCCATGCGTGGATGTACAAATGTACATATGACAGAAATACGCCATATGACATATGGCATGTGGAAGCATGCCCTTCAAGGGGGTGCTCATCTGGTGCTGCATCAGGGACATGGAACTTCTGCGAAAGCAAGTCGTGATAAAGCTCCACAACCCTCCCTCACCAACGCCATCAATTGGACATGTCAATAGTTGACAGGTTCTTGTTGCAATTTTGACTGAAATCCAACTTAGTTGAGATTTTGTTTTGTGCAGGGACAACGGCCAACGTGCCATGAACCTCGCCGTGTCGCTGAGCAATCTGACCAGTGATAAGTCTCTGCCTTTGTTTTGCCAGGGCATCCTTTCGGCTTCATCCCAGTCGAAACTTGACATGGTCAAGCAGAAACGACATGCGACTCAATCCACACCTATGATCCTCAGGATGCGCGTTGTAGCCTTATGAATTCATACAATCCTTGCCAAAAGGGTGTCAACACGTCTCTGCCATACAGACTTCTAATTTTGAAAGGACTCCCGAAGAATGACTCGAATTCCAAGTGACAATTGTGTGGGGCTGCCCTCACGTGCAGTCCAGTCAGAATGGCTTAAGGCCCGCTGATTCCCTCCGCTACGTGGACTGAGACAGTAGTTAACCATGGTTACAATGACAAGCTGTGAGCGGAGCACCCCAGCTACCCTCATTGTAGTCATCTTCATCATTCCAACCATTGCAACCTGGCGACTAAGTGGGTTGGACGTCCAAAAAGGCACGACTCCCAAGCGTCGGCCTCCGCCGGAGGCACCATCTTGACCTTCCCCAACTGAGCCGTGGAGATCCATGGCGGAGGGGCGGTCTGGGACCAGTGCTCGTGATTGGCCCTCGCTCGCCTTGGCGCTATTTGAAAGGGAAAGCACGGACCAGAAAACTTCAATCATAGGGGGCTTCTCGCGAGCAAAACCAGTCTCCATTCTGCTGGTTTAATGATCCTAGGCTCCATTATCCCGCGTGTCCTTGAAACGCTTTCGTATCAGCAAATCATCTCAAAAGGATGCAAAAGGTAAGAATGTGACTACTTTCAAGGACTGTCCAACCACTTTGCTCGGGCGCAAGAATGGCAAGATCGAGTCCGAGAGCGACTTCTCCGAGACGACCCGCGTGATGCGCCGAGGCGGCGCCTTCCTTGGATTTGTGGAGCGGGGCGAGCGGAGCGTGAGGGAAGGGTCCTTCAAAAAGCTGTCTCAAAGCGGTCCTTCAACCAGTTCCCAACAAAAGTGGGTATGCGGTTACGAATCTTTGGGACTTTGGTGGACCTCATTTAGGTTAGCGTTGATGTCCACCGCTTGTGAGGGGTTCCCCAATAAACTCATGGCCAGGACGATGAGGGGATCTCCCTGGGCATGATTGGTTGTCCAGCAAACTACTCCCCAACCCTTTGGGAAAACTGGGTCCAACCAGTCAACTCATGGGAAACTTGACTTATTTGCCGATTTGCAAGCTGAAAAAGGAGCTGTCCCTCCTTCGGCATATGTCCCCTACCCCTTTAAGCCTTCTAACATGTTATACCAAGCTCCAAACACACATGTCAACAGGCATTGGAAAGGGCACACGCTGGCGCGCCAGGTCCCGGGTCGAGCAGCACAGGCTCCACGTGCTCCGGTGCCACGCACATTGGCGCGGATGCCGGCGGAGTGGAGTCTTCTCGCTTCATGGCTGCCAAATGAGCAGTCTCGAGCAACCAAAGCTGCAAAGGCGCATGCTCAATGATATGGGTGGCTTGGGTTGGGCTTGGCACCCTTTTGGGGGTTATAGCTCAAAGGAGAACCGAAGATAGCCGAATGCTTTGGGAGTTTCAAGTTGTTGGAAAGAACGGAAAGAACGCCTGCGCCTGGACAAGTACGACTAAAAGCGGACAACAGCCAGCGGGCTCCAAATGCAGTGAGCCACGCTGAGCCTCAAAGGGCCTTGCAGCCCCCGACAGGCCAATGGACTCTCCTGCCCCGTTCACCAGGGCTGTCCAAGTCCAGGCCTGCCGTGCTTTGGCATCATACTGGGCCTGGAAGAAGAGAAGCCTGCCAAAAAGCAAAGCTCTAGAGGTTTTGATGTATGTGTGTGGCGCTCCTTATTTGAGGGTACTTCATTTTGGACAAACCCATGTTTCCTGGACACGACAACTACCCCGACTACCCCCCCCCAAAAAGAAAATGGGAGATTGCAATTGTTTGAGGATGGTTTGAGGGTCCATGAGGGTCCAGGTCTCTTGGCTGGTTTAAACAGTGCCTTTGGGGGCAAGCTAAGCGAAGAAGACTTCGACTTAGAGTCTCTAGGTCACAAAAACAACAAACCGAACGTGCCACTAATTTATCACTGAATGAAGATCTTCAGTGGGCAATCCTCGCAAACATATCCGCCTGCCTGGATGCCCGCCTGCCCAGCGTGGAGAGTAGCTATCAACTCGCCTGCCAAGAGTCTCGATATGTTGGCAACACGTGGGAGTCCCGTGGGAGCTTAGTGTTGGGCACCTGCGGCTCTTTTGGTTTGATCTCGATTGATCTGAATCCAGGCTAATTTGGCCCTGCATCCGTGCAAAAAGCAAAGAATCTACAGCCCAACAGCCAACTTCTGGGCTGAAGGGAAAATGCTCGCCCGAGGTCTGTATACCCTCGTGGAAATACCCCCAACAAGAAATATTGAATTGCAAATGCCGCCCTTCACACCTTTTTGATTCAGACCATGCCCAAATATGCCCAACACAATTACAATCACTTAGGGAGGGGGGTAGGCGGTTCTGGCGGACCTCACCTGCTGCGCGCGCCGCAGCAGGCCATTTCGCACGCCAATTAAATTTACAAGCATTGCGCATTGCGATGCATTGCTCACTTTTGCCAGCCATATCTGGATGAGCTGCCGCATCAGCATCGGCGTCGGCCGCTTCTGGCACAGCCACATCAAACCAACAACCCATTGCGAGGTGATTTAATTCCCAATTCTATCACATGTTCATGAAGGAAACCACCATAAACCAACCAATTTTGAGGGGATTACCCTTTTGCATTCAGGATGAAAAACCGGCTCATTCCTGGCCTCTCTGTCTCTGGCTTGGCTTTGGCAAGCTGCTTGGCCTTCAGATCCGCCTTGGCTTGTTGTTTGGCCTTCTGCACGTCGGCCGTCGGGATCATGCCTCGGGCGGCTGAAGCAGGGCTCTGTGCAGGGGCCAACGTCACCACCAAGCCAGCCCACCCCACTTTGCGCTGGAAGCGAAGGACAGTTGGCCAAACAAAGTCCCCTCCACCCACCAACCACGCCGAGAAGCCCTCCACAAAAGGCACCAAGAACGTTGAAGCCTTCACCAAAATGAAGAAACTACACGGGGCACATGGCTAGGAAAAGTCTGATTGCTAATCTGGCGGGTAATCACTTCTTTCAACCTACCCCGAAAAAAAACTCCCCCGAGCCGCGGCAAAAAATAGGGAATACTAAATTTAAATTGGCCAATACTAAACCAATACTAAACTCCTGAGACTACACATGCTTTCCACCAAGCTCCCAAAATATGCTTATTGGGGGGTCCCCCCTTCAGAGTGTGTTGAAACAAGAAGGCTCCGTGTTTTCTTTGACACCCAAGGGTTGCCTTGTGCGACAAGGTTTTATTGTTAGCTATTTAGGGTCTGTTCGCCAAACAACCCAACACAAGCAAAACAAATTGTGAACTGACCATGGGACACGGGACACTCCCTTTCGAAGTTCTTACTCAATGCAATCTGAGCAGTTTTTGCTCCAAATCAAAGGAGATCCACTTTCCAATAGTCCAATACTAAACAGCAAACTATCAACTGGATCTAGGCCCAAACCGGCGACCTCTATTCATAAAACTCCCCCCAGGTGTTTTTTCTTTTTTTTTTTGGGGGGGGGGGGGGCGGATTTTTATTAGGGAGAAGCGATTAAGCTGGTAAGCCAGTCACGTGTGAGAGCAGCACTTAGTCCCACCCCCCAGTTCCCACCCCTTCAAACCAGGGTTCTTTTTCTTTTTCTCTCTCTCTCTCTGCCTGTGTCCCGTTTCAACACGTCACCACAGCGAAATACACGTAAGCATGTCCCAATGAAATTAACAAAGAGAAATCACAGGATCACCGCAGGATACCGCAGGATTGTGAAGGGAAACTCAAAGGAAACACTGGCTGATTCTGCAGCAGAAGGAGAGTTATGAGGTAAGTATGCATTGATTAAGACTCTCAAACATTCTGCCAAGGAGCTCTCCAAAGTCTGCTGGAAATTCAGCCTCTTTGTGTCCGACATCTCCTCGATGTTGATCACTGAGTTTTCGCCGTCCTCCAATGCGTCGAAGGTCTTGATCACGGCTTCCAGCTGGTCGTCGTCCAGCTGGTTGAGGGAATCCTTGGGCCAAGCAGAAACGAGCCGATGGTCCGACGCAACTCAACTCAACCAATGAGCAGCTGTTGCCATCCTATGCTTTAATCCAACTCTGAGGGGTGCAGTGCTTCGTTGGAAAATCTTGAGGCCCATCACCAGTCAAACATGACTTCGCTCGCAACCCGGTCAATTGCTCAAACCCACTCTTTGCCACGCAGAGGACCAGCGAGTCAACCGAATCAGCCGCTGCCGCTCGGTGAAAAACTGAAAATTGGCGTTTGGCCCGAGCATCCACCAGGCACTCCAAGTATGCCCTCTCTTCTGCAGGGACCTCCTCGGAAGGATGCGCCGCCGAGTCTTTGAACACATTGCAAACTTCCACACCAAATGTGCGGCTGTCTAAACTCCTTGTATCCCGCAAAGGACACTGCAAAATTGGGACGCCCCCATCGCTTCCCGCATGTTTTGGCGTTTGACTTCGGAGGGCATCGCCCTCTCCAAGTCATGGCACCCGAACCAACCAAGCACACCCAAGCACACCCGCTATCACCCGCTTCAACCTCCGCGAGCAAGTAGTGCAAGCAATATTCACTCTGTGTTTGTTGGTGCATCCAAGAGCAGGGCATCGCTTTTGGGACGTTCTTATCAATTTTTGGAAAGCCGATCTCCGCCGAATACATATTCTAGATGCAAGTTTTGACGGTTGCTCAAATGCTTGAGCACGCACTCGAACCGCCAAACGTGCCTTCGCCTTCGCCTCCCCTTTGTCGGCTTTGGCGTTGCGCTTCTGCCGCTCGCCGCGGTTCTCAGGCTCCTTCTCAGGTGAAGGGCCGCTTGGGGCGAGTCACCTCTAATTGCATCTCTGCGGGCTGGAACTCGTTCGCGCCTTGGAATTCCCCCTAACTCTGGCATGCCACTGCCTCCCTTTCGGTTTTTGGGAAAGATCTTGGCCTCTCATAAGGTCGGTATTTCTTTGCTGCTTTCTGCTTCATCAGCCCGCACGGTCCCCAGCTTCGACAAATGCGACACATGCCCGCACCGCGGCATGCTTGAAGGGGAGCGTTGGCGACCAACAGCCGGGGGCAGCCAGAGGCTTCAAACAAAGGATTTGTATTTTTTGCCGCTGTTGTTTCTACTATTGAGTTTGCATTTATGTTAGGACACGTTTGAGTACTTGTGTGTGTCTGGTTCTGGGGTTGCTTCTTTTTTCAAGGGAAAATTAGGTACCTGGTTACATCTAGTTTTGGGTTTATCTTTATTGATTAAATGAGACGGGGCAGGGGCGGGGGCGGGAACAAAGGCGGCAAAAGAAGCGAAGGATGGAAATTGAATACACCCAGGTAAAACTTCACCAGGGCCTGGATATGTAAAAAAGATACATCTGGGGCCAAATGGTCCGGGAAATGTAAAACAAACCTCCAAAAAGCACAGAACATGCAAATGCAGACCTGAACACAATCCCCAGATCTGGGGCCTGCCGCCCCAACGAAAGCGATCGCCAAGCGCCCCAAGTACGGGCACAAAAGCTTACACGGCTTGCAGCTGAGCCTGCGAACTTTGTCATCAAACGAAGCTTCTACACCACACCCCCGCGTTGCATGTCAAGTGATTGCTTTCACAAACTCGGCCAACTGCAAAGGCGCGATTCAGCACATTGCAAACATGCAAGCTGAAGAGCATGCAAAAAAAATGCAAAGGGGAACAACAAACCAAACGGACCCCTGATGCAAACAACATGAATCAATCATTCTGCGCTTCACCCAAAGGCTGTGAGCCTGAACTTCTCTCACAATAATTACCAACCATTCAAA